GAAATAGATGCTGCATTTTGTGCTACAGAATAGTTCTTGAGCCTTGGAATATAATAATTCATACTTACCAAGCACTTTCAGCCCACAGATCTGAAAAACGGTAAGTACTGGTATCTCTATGCTGCTGCAGAGTGCTGAAATTAAGTGGACTGATGTGCCTCTGCGTACCTGTGCTTTAGGGCACAGAGTAAGCTGAGGACAGAGAGAACAAGCTTGTAGCAAGCCCTTGACCTGTGTGTCTGTTGGTACAGCTACAGCCCTCCCAGCACAAAATGCTGAACTCTCATCTGGATGTGCTTCTTTGGGGGGGTGACTGATCACTGCTGTGTTAAACAGCATCAGTGTGGCCTTCGTTGTACCATCTGTGCCGATATCACCGTTTCTGCTGTAATTGATACTGCCTTAAAATACCTGGGATGATCTGTGACTTCTACCTGTTTTGTTTGTGGAATGAAAACTAATCTTCCCAGTTGTCATAGTTAAAAAATATAGCAGCAGAGTTTTTTTCTCAGTGCTTTGAATTCATATAGTTGTTTAAAACAGAGAAAACACGTAAATGACCAACATCTTCACTTATTACTTGAAGTCACTATTTGAGCACTGAGCAGCCATTTACCTCTAATTTGGGTATGAAGTGAAAGTTCGTGGTGTCAATTAGTCCCCAATCACAACATCAAGATGAGTTTTCACCGAGGAGAATATCTTGCTGTAAGTGGTTTACAGACAAACACTCTTAAGCTCTGCAGGTGATCCCCGCAACTACTGCATTTCATGCTAACTAACAGCCCATGATTGCTGCAGAGCTACAAAGTGATTCTTTCTGCCTTACTTTTTTCTATATGCTTCTTGTTTTAATTAGCATCACTAATTAAAACAATTAATTTTGAATAATATTTTCTCTGGGATCATACACTGTCCTCTGCCTGTTGGGCTTTCAGTGAGGGCCTTGCCTGCATAAAAGCAGCAAGATAATTCTTGGTGTCTCCATCACACTCCTACATCTCTCCCAGCTAAAAGCTCACCTGTCAAAGAAAAGCAGGATGCTCAAAAACAATTAATTCCATGGGAGAGGGAGCACTCCACAGTGTCCAGATTACATGCAGCATCTGGCGGGGTCAAGATACAAAACAAGTAAGAACATTAAAAAAGGAACTGAAAACACAACAGGAACAGTGTTTGACTATGTGAATACACAAAGGATCCACAGAGAGAAAGTAGTGACAGATTTTGGCCCTTCTTGGTCTGCATTTAAATTTGCTTCCACCTGACTGGTCTGTTTGCTTGCTGAGCAAATAAGTTAAACAGAAAACAGCTCATAAATGACAAACAGCAAATATTTCATATGCATAATTTATTTTAAAGTTTATTGCGTCACATTATACAAGCATTAAACATGGCTTTATGTTGATGATTTTTTTTTTAAAGTGTGAAAACTTGACATTCTTCTCCATAGGATTTTTCTATTTACAAATAAACAATCTCTCTATATACTTTTTATATATATATATTATATATATGGTAAATAACATAACTCCCCTCAGAAAGATTTAAAATAAAAAAGAACTGATTTGTAAACACGGTTTCTGTTGTAGCATTTGGTGGCTTGAATGCAGAAGATGTTCTATACCTAAGATTTTCTTTTTGTCAAAGTATCCAGGTTGTTCATTTATACTTTTTATTCTAAGATCTGTAAAACCAACATGGGACAGAATGCAAAAAACGTAGCAAACAGGCTGAAAAACAGTCCCAATATACATTTTTTTTTCCTTGGTTTTAAAAAGTGGCGTGTAACTGCTCATGAAGTACATGCTTGCTGTTAAGAGTGGTCTATGGAGATCAATCCTATGCTGATTGCAAGATGATTTCACAGTAAATCCTTTGATGTGTGCTGTCCTGCTTGCTATATAAAATGTCTGTGGCATGCATTGAGGTTGCATTTTTTTCTCATTCCCTTGAAGGTAGTGCTCTTGTGGAGCTGGAATAAGTAAACAACATATAGGACGGTCACCTGGAGGTTTAAACAAAACCCATCATCAGATCAGAAAGAAGGGAATGGCATAAACTTGCTATCTAGAGACCATTAAAATCCCGTTTATATTATTAGCCTATTATTTGTATTATATTTTCCTAATTAATAAAATAAGTTAAAAGGGGTCATCTTTCCTGAGTGTTCTGCTAGATAGCTCTGAAGGACTCAAGGGAAATCTATTCAGCAGACCAGCAGCACAGAAACCTCAGTGCGTTGACTGGTCAACATTAAGCGACACAAATGTACTCCGAGTCTGCCTGGGAGGTCAGAGCCCCTTTCAGCACAGGCTTGGTAGACAGCCAACGCGTGTTCTCATCTAGAGCAGAACGGGACACAACTTCTAGCAATGTTGTTGTCATGAAAAGTCACCATAACGTAGCTGTGTTGAAAACTAGTCTCAAAAGCAGTTAGCTATTGTATTTCTGCTGCACTTTATTTGTTTTGGCACATTATATTGCGGTGTTTCCTCTGGAGTGGACGTGTTTGTATTCTACTAGGTTTCAGTTCAGTTCTCCGAAGTTATTGAGATCTACATTGACAAAGCTATATCTTACTGCAGGAGTTTGCAAAGGTTCACACTCATATGGGTGACGCTGATTTTATGCATGACTCATGTCTCACTTTACTACTTAGCAAACAGTTTCTAAGATCTTGTCATCTGTTGTTTTAGGTATTAAACAGAGGGTATGCAAACTAATCCAATTGTGCCTGTGAATTTGGTCTGAATGTGATTTTGCACAGCGATCCTGCCTGAGAGTCCCCAGGCTGCAAGGGCAGTACACAGCCGTCGGTGGTGGATGGTAAATACCCACCTGGCATGTGCGTATCGGAGCGCGACATTACCTAATCCCCACCCCCTATTTACAGAGACAGAAATACCCCCGATTCTCCACTGCCCACGTGGGATGTGTCCACAGCTGCTGTAAGCTGAAGCAAAGATGAACAAGTTCACTTCCTCATTAGGCAGGAATACAACCCACAATCAACTCAATTTGGCACCCAGTCGACAGAGAACAGAGCAATCCTGAAATTCCTTATGGTGCTTATGGTGCCTCATGGGACATTCAGGTTTGGGCCAGGAGCATCTGATAAATGGGAGCTGTTGTGCCATTTAACCTCTTCATGCAGGATGAAGGGTCAGTACCGAAGGAGGTTCCTTGCTACGAGGAAGCAAAGTGTAGGCAGGCAGTTCCCACAGGCATAGTTCTGCCTTGCAGTGGAAAGCAGTTAATAGATGTAATTTGGCCCTATGGGGTCTTGGTGCAAGTGGTCCTGATGTCTTGTGGAGCTTGAGGCATCCATCCATAGGGTCTTGCATTGTGTGGGCTGTCCAGAAGGTCAAATTCTAGCCCTTCTATCAAATGATTTCCAGGAGAACTTGTAGAAACAACCTGCTGAATTTTCCCCGTCTTAAAATTTTCAAACTAACAAGGTCACAATTCCTTAAGATTTCTGAGAAAACTATAATTTTTACGGAGCTCCAGTTATTTGGAAAAGGGCTAAGCAAATGGATTAGCTCCAGTATTTTGTATCTAGCAGTATCCTCACCAAGACATAGGCTTGCTTCCAACTTGGCTTCTCACAGTCTTGGTTTTTCAACTACCTTCTTCGTGTTGTGGATGACTATGCCATTGCATGTTCTGCAAGAGTTGCCGTGTCATAACTTTGAAGCAAGAGGTGGTAGAGTTTTCACAACAGAGCGTTTTGATTCATGTTGCTCCCTCCAACACTTCTGCAGTCTTCAGATGTGCAGCTCCACTAGTTTGGGTTAATGATCTGGGAAATTTTTAATTTCTTAATGCTAAACGATTTACGAAAGGTTATATAGATAGTGGCCCGTTTCATTCAAACCTAGTTCTGCAGCCTGTGCGGAACTGCTCTGTATGAAGGATTTCAAGCTATTTCATACTACAGTCTGTTTTATTTTTCCGCCGCACCCTTTCATAGATAATGGAAGCATAAAGAAAGAAAGTGTTACAAGTGTAGAGATTCTCGGTGACTGTGCTCTTTTACTCTGCTGACCTTGTTCATCTGTGTTTGGTTTTTTATGCAGAGAGGTCTTTAAGACACAGTCGGTCTTCTGTTATGTGTATCATCCCCTCTAATTCCTGATGAGGCCTCAATGTGATCTTGCAATACAACTACATGGGCAGTTGTGGGAAAGATGCCCTAGCCTGATTTGTTTCTTTCAGAGATCAGACAGGCCTATAGCTGAAAAGGCACTGTTCACATCTTTAAAACATATTATCAACTTCTCACAGTATCATTTCCAAATAAATGACCCTACAGTTAGATATCTCTGGCCACATTTAGATGCTTGTCTATCTGTCAGCACTTCTGCATACCTAAATTTTTCAGCATTGTTAGACCAGTTGATTAGACTCATGATCAAGCATCTCCTCCTAAAAAAATACTTCAGCGTTGTGGAAGTAACGGAAAAGATCCACGTATGTGACCTTAACTCACGGTAAATGCAGGCTGACACAGCTTAGTCCACTGTGGAAGAGGGCAACGTTGCCGTGCATGTGCTGCAGGTGGTGGCCACACACGTGGAAAAGTACTGCCATGTTGCCAATGTGCAGTCATTGATTATGAAGTAGCAACTTGGTCATGAGAATGAGCCGTAAGATCACTGAATTCTGTAAAGCACTGTAACATATATAATGCTTTGATGTTCAGGGCCTTGAATTTAAGTCAGGGCCTGGGAGCGTCCTGGAAAGAGTGTGGAGACATAAGCATTGGTCTGATCTGCTTGTGCTGACGTTAGCTCTGGAGAAGACTAAGCCTTGCAAGACCTCTAATTTCGAAAGGCTTATGACAATATGCACCCTATTAAACATGGGCACATATGTGCTAAGTGCACACAACATTGATTGACTATTCCTTTCCATGCACTCTTCACTGTGGAAAACCAGGACATTTTTATAAACAGAATTGCTATCTTCTTTTAAGCAGTTTCTTCCTCACCCCATCATGGCCACTCATTGTGATAAGATTTTCCATTCTTCTTCCTTTCCTTCCGCTCTTTCTGCAGACGTTCTAGTTCAGCTTCGTACATCATTTCCTGAATCAGGTACTTTTCTCTCCTCATCCGATCTCTCAGATCTTTTGGGAGATCTGGGATTAAGTAGGAAATCAGGTGCTTTATGCAAAAGACAAGGTGCTGTGAAAACAAAGAAAAGGGATGAAAAATTAAAAACTTAGGAAGAAAACAAGTACATTCCATATTTTCTGAAAACCCTCTCCTTCCAATTCACAAAAAAAGGTGCTGTATTAGAACTAAATCCATTACTAAATTTGACGAAACCAAACCACAAAGTTTTTTCCACACAAAAACTCCAGCCAAAGTCAATGGAGTATGGATTGCAGCAAAGATTGTGAGCAGCTGGGTTCAAATAAGGCCTCAAAACTGTTGTATGACCTGTGTGTTCAAACTCCTGAGATCATGATTTGCTGTAAGGTTGCTTGGGCAGGGCCTGGCATTAGTGGATTGCTCTGCAGGAAGAGCAGATATGACTTTCCTGGTGCCAGAAGACCCTTGCATCAGCACCGGAACCAATGAATTACCTATGCAAAACAAAAGACTTTTTCTTTTACTGTCTCTCTCATCCAAAGACATATTCCCATTTACTAAACACCACAATTAAATACAAGGTGAATGGTCCTTTGTCCCTCATGTTTTAGGCGTGCCACAGCAAAGCTTGAGTGTGATGGGGGAGGATTGCTTGAGTGTCCTTTTTTGTTTGATCATTGATACTGCTTGGAGTTTTACTCACTCCACTTGAGAGGAGGAGCAGAGAAACAGAAAAATCCTCCATTTCAGAAAGGACACTCATTCTAGATTGGAGAAATAAAGGAATGTCTTCTTCTCCAAGCAGAACCCTTCATTTGAAAGCCAGTGAAAAGAGAATATAACATGTTAGGTTTACGGATTCTACGATTCTATGATTCTACATTTTCCTACGGGTACTTCCCGCATGAGAAATAAACCCACAATACTTTAATTGCTATTTTTTTGCCAAACGTTTTCAGTTTCGTCTGGGCACATAATTCCTTTTGCAGTGATAGGAAACACTTCTGTTTGTTTTTGAGGTAGGTCAAGATAGCCAAAATAACCACACCCACACCCACAATGCTAAAAAGGTGTCTGAGCTTAGATAGTTACTTAATTTATGAGGAAACCTATCTTGAATCACTTATCTCTTAGTACAGCCTTTTACTGTAATTACTGTAGCAATCACAATACACACATTAGTGTTTTCCACAAAGAAAGATGGTTATGGTTTCTGCTGCAATTACCTTTTTGATTTCATAGATATAGTTAAGGAAGTAGTTTACATCACCAATAAACAGAATAGCCCCTGTTGAGAGAGACAGCTATAAGCCAGCTTGTGGCTTTGCTTGGGGCAAAGCAAAGCCAAATCTCTTGTGCAAGTATTGGGCAGATACAAAAAGCTGTTCCACAGCAGGCTGCAAATTTGGCTGGGCACTGAGACTTGAGCAGGGCTGATTTTTCTTGCCTCAGTTATCTTTGCCCTTCTGCCATGCTGCCTTTATGCCAAGTGTGTATCAAGAGGCCAGGCTGTCTTCTATCTTAAAACTGCGTAGGCTGACCTGCCAAGGCCATTCTTGTGGTCCTTTTTGGAGACAGATACCCTGGCTCTCAGTACTGACAGCTAAAGAAACAAAGATCAAGCCAAGCAGGCCTCTGTCTAATTTTTTATTTCTTTCTTCCTTTCTTTCTTTCTTCCTTCCTTTCTTCCTTCCTCTCTTTCTTCCTCTCTTCCTCTTCCTTCCTTTCTTCTTCTCTTCCTCTCTTCTTCTCTTCCTCCCTCCCTCCCTCCCTCCCTTTTCTTCCTTTTCTTTCTTTCCCTTAACGTTTCGCTGAGTGTGGCAGAGATGATGAAAGAGCTGCTTTCCTTAGGACCAGCTCAACTGAGTTAGCCCAGTGTAGAGGAAGGGGAGACCCCAACCTGCAGTGCCATATTCCCCCTTTGTCTGGGAAGGGCTGAAAATGACAATCAGGGCAATTCAAAGCAGACCTCTAGAGAATGTTTCCCCTTCATCTTTCCTCTAATTCAAATGATTCTGTTCCATGACCCAAAGAGGTGCTTCGAAATCTCGGTTCAGAATGAAATTACACAGTAATGTGTGTCAGAAATGCAGTATGTGCTCATGAATATTATGCCAATAATTTACAGTGATTACAGCTTCCATATCTATGTTGGATGCCCTGTTGCTGTGACTTCAGAGCAGAGGATTGAGTAAAGAGGTTTTAAAAATTGTTCTCTGTTTGGCTTCTTCACAGTGTAAAAGGTATTTCAAACTGCTTGTGCTGGACAGATGCTGGGCCCCTAGTTTCTGGCAGGGATATTCAGGCACCTGAAATTCAGGCCTTAAGAGCTGCATTTTGTTTTGTAAATGTTCTCATCCTATTTATCTAATCCTCCTGTCTTTCTTTTTCAAAACCAGCAGGGGCATACCCGTCATGAGAAGCTGGTATTATCTTCTCTGGTTTGTCTTAAAGATTTCTGAGATACAGACAGTAAGTACTAATATGAACATTGGCAATGGTATTGAATCCTTTTCATCATCATCATCTTTGTGATGCTAATCATTCTGGGGCAATGAATGGTATTTAAAAAAAAAAAAAAAAAAGCTAGATGTGTAAATACTGTAACTTAAAATATCTTAATTTTTCAGTTGTTCACATTTCATCTTTTCTTCTGATGTTCCTTCACCCCTTCCACACAGGCTAGTTAGCATATGACTTCCTAGCCTAGACAGGTTATGAATGACAGACCTCAGAAGGTAAATAAAAGCTTCACTTATTTCCTGTCTTTGCAAGTCACTGTTACAGTTTTCAAAGTAAAAGTGCTGCATTCACCTTTCTGTTAGAACCTAAATACCTGTGACTATTCAGAAAACAGATTTGAGAATACCAAGCGCAATATAAATAGCAGAAAATAACACAAAAACTCAACAGCTGCCACCATAGTTCAGCCCAATAAAAAACTTCAAAGGGAAATTTGTTTCATTTTGTGGTTTTCATTTTGCCACCTGAATGGTCACTGACCTCAAATACAATGATGAAAGCCAACCGCGCTGCTAAGACATGCCAGAACTGTAATGTGTAACCGTAGGGCACTGGGGAGTGAGGAGGGTCTCGGTAGTCTCTGTACCTGAAAGACAAGCAGAGTAGAGTAGTTGTCAGCAGCATCCTGCCCTGCTGCATGGGAGGAAGGCAAACCCAAAACCTGACTGGTCTTAATTATTGCATTTTCTGCACTAAAATTATCTCAGTTCAGACTGTACGAGTTACCACACGCTGTTTGCTGCTTAGGCTGGACCCGCACTAGTGTTCTATTTCAGATCAGGTGCATGCTTTTGCCGTGCTTTGTTTCACCCAAATGGGTTTGCTTTCAGATGAAACCTAACAGTAAGAGGCATTCCAGGAGTGCACTTTGCACTCCAGTTGTTAATGGAAATTGAGTGCAAACGATCAGGCCAGTGCCTGCATGAAGTGAGAGTGCTGAAACCAATACAGAGGATGTTGGGTGATCAGCACTAGCAGTGTGACCCAGCAGCATCTCCCTTGGCAGTGCAACATGTGCCCTGCAGGCACCTCCTCAGAACGCTGAGCAGGGTGAGATGCTCTGTTGTTTTGAGGGCCACTTTCTTTCCACTACATGTTCATTTAAAAAACAACGTCCCCAATTTTGTCAGCCTGGCAGCCCTCCCATAATCCATATAAAACTGCTTCGTAGGGTCCATCTGGCCCTTGGTCAATTGGTTGGCCATCCCTGTTGTAAAGCATGACTTATCCGGACTTTAGTGGAGCCAGAACTACACCTCTTGGTATACCAACAGGGCAAGGGCTGTGTAAGAAAGGGATCTAGTGTCTTGTCTCACAAAATGTTTCTTTAAAGACTTTAGGTCTCAACAATATAACTAGAGATATCTATTGGGAAAGCTGGATCCAGGAAGACGCTAAAATTACATTAACAAATTATGAATCTGTTTAAGTCACACCCTTGGGAGTCCATTTCCACTAGGAGTATGTTAATTCCAAAATACTACTGCAGAAACTTAATTTAGAAGTTGTGTAAAAATTGTTTTCTCCTTAATCTGTTTCCTAGATGCCTAGGATGACAGAAAACTTGCTACAAAAAATATTGAAAATACCATAGTAAATAACACACTTAAGCTTGATCTCTAAGCAAGTTTTAAGAAACTAAAGAAAACTCAGATAAGCAAAAAGAAATAAACAGTTATTTAATCTCAATGAAAATCTGTATTTCTACGTGAAGGTTCACCTTCTTAGATTGCAGAGGGTGCTATACAAAATAAGCTGTCTTGACATCTTAGCAACAAACCTCTCTTAAATTGCAGTGTATCTAGTGCAAGTTCTTAAAACTGAGGTGATCTTCCTTTCTGCAAGCAGCATTCTGACTTCATAGTTTAGGACGTTTTACAATGTCCCAAGCATCCTGCAAACAGAAGTCCCTGGACCAAGTCCCAGGTCAGCAGAGTATGTCTCCTTTTTGTACTTGCTAGGAACCAAGCACTACACATGAAGAAATAGAGAAACCTTTTATAACAACCGGGATAACATGGCACCATCTGGGTTCCAGATGAGCAGAAATTAACTAAATATGGCTACTGTTTTTTTGTTCAGACAGACTGCCTTCCTGGAAAAATGCCCACACTATTGCACAGTAGAACATAGTATTTCCTTACCTCACTATCAATATCTGGCTTGAAGTGCAATTAAAATGACTAATGTTTAGCAGAATTCAGGTGGGTTAAGTAGCTGATAAACTCAGCTAAAGAGAGAGATTAATTTTCTTTCAAGCGTAGATATACGTAACAGTTCATTGTCCCCCCAAACAACAGATTTATCTTCTGGAGATTTATGGCACCAATTTTAATAGCATTCTGTTTATGGGATATTGAGGGGACAACTTTTTTTGTTGATGAGATTTCCACCATCGGCTTCAAGTAGCAGCAACCTCGTGCTTGAAGTTGGGGAAGAAAGGAATTAAAGAGGGGGAAGAGAATGATTAGAATTACAAAACATTATTAAACAGTGCTATGGCAAACAACGTGGAATGGAGTAGTCTCAAAGTGGTTCTGCTCCACAGAACATGTTATCTATGGATTGGGGTGGGATGTTCTTTCTGCCAATTAAGTTGCAACAGTCTTAAATATGAGTTAGTTAAACAAAAACATTAATGCCACCCCTCCAGTTCATTATGCTATACCTCTCAAACTTATTATTAATAAGAATGCTGCAATATAACAAAATATGACTGACTTTTGACTGACTTTTGCTGTATCACAGCGTATCTTTTGTTCTTTAGGCACTCATGAAAGCATATGTTAATACCTCACGGTGAAAAATACTGGGATTAAGTGTATCTGCAGCTATCAGGACTCATGCTTGTAAAACAATGCTGCCATAAAAAAATGGTAGCATATTTGTTGTTTGGTATTTTTGGTTGGGAACCCTATTTAAGACCTTTATATAGAGCCTTCTTTGGACCATTAAAATCAATCAGGTGCAAATCTGTCATTACAGACTAGTCTCAGACTGCTATTTCTCCAATATGTTGGCTGGGGACAAAGACACACAGATAATGGCTCATTTTATCTTGATCCAAACCACAAGTATATGATTATTACTAATAATTACACCTGTGAGCAATGACATAAACATACTAACCATTCAACAATTAGGAAGTACTGGATTTGAGATTTCGTAAAGGCCCCTTAGGAAAGACCCTGTTTATGCCTGGCAGACTTGTGAAAAAACTCAGTGTGGTCACTTCTGTGCTACCTTGACTTCCTTGTGTGTGTGCTATGGTATGATCTGGTTACAGTTTCATCTCACTGATACCCAGGCAATCGGTCACTTATTATTAGCCCTTTGATATCATATTTCTCAGTGACGGTTTTGTCTGAGTCAAGCTGTGACATCATAGAAATCCTGCATTAGGAATACTTGCCAGATATCCGTTTTTCGGCTTCTCCTGCATCTAAGGAAGGAATCATGCAGGAAACAGCCAAGCAGTACCATGAACATGTCCCTGAATAACACAGTCGATTCTTTCCATTGCTGTTTTTTAAGTTCTGAATATTAAAATTTATCATGATGCTTCTCCCTTGAAATGTCTTAAAGCAGAGAGGTACTTTGAGCAGATACTTACCGGCAATATTTTAATGGTGAACCAGAGAATTCACTTCCATTTGATGTTGGCTCTGAACGGTTTTCAAAGTCAGACACCAGAAATACCGATAAACTGGCATTAACATAGCCAACCATACACCTAGAGGGGAAAAAATGCTGTAGTCAGGACACAGCAAGGTTTTTCCATTAACTGTTGTACCCAGGAGGATGTTTCATGAAATCCACAGTATAACTGTGATGCTTATTAATATTTGAAAGGGATGTTGAGGCAATATAAAAGAAATGCTCAAGTAGGTCAGACGGACAATAAAAGTGAAGCAATGGTAGATTCCTATGGGAGAAGAAATGTTGAAGACTGTGACTGGTTGCTTGTGAAAAGAAAGGTCACCTAAAAGGTGACACAATAGAGGTAGAGAAAATAATGAATAGCACTAGGAAGATAATCAGAATATTCCCACTGTTACCTTCATGGTACTAGCACAAAGGGATGTTAAATCAGATGGAAAGGCAATACACTTAGACCAGCTTTTTACAAAATGTCCAGTTAATCAGAGGAACTCAGTACTCAAAGATCCCAGGGTGGTTGAGCACTGGGAGGGTCAGGCAGAGTTTGGAGAACACTGAGTAGGAGAATGTACATCCCCTGACAAAAGGATGTGGGAGTCACTAGAAGGCTCAAGTTTGGTGTTAATAAAGCTGAGGAGAGATATGGCAAGTGTATTGTGCAGTTCAGTCTGCACTGCCCAAGCACAGGTAAGTCTAGACACACTGCTCAACTTAGTGCAGAGGATAATGCACAGTAAGAGCTGGGTTGGTTTTTTTCTGAACTATGGGTATTACAGTATTTGAGAAATTACGTTTAAACACCATCTGGCTTTGTCTCAAAATCTCCATACTGATTGGATTTGGAACTTAATTTAATTACAAAAGCTTTTTAGTATCACTGGGTATCGTATGGATCTGATACCTACAGATGTTTTTTGAAAGAAAAGAGCACCTCTCTCATTAGGTTATTCAATGGCAGATGTTCCTGACTCCTTAATTTGAGAATATTCAATATTTCTGTGAATTTTTTAACAGCTTCCCGTAACAGTACTTATTAATAACAATACCCAGGATGCTGACATAAATAGTTTTTATCCAAGTTGGCTCCTTTGAAGGATTACTGTCTGATGGTTTAATCCAGAAATTGACTCAAAAAAGCAGCAGAAGTGTGAAAACACTGTACAAGAGGTTTGCGAAAAGATGATAAGAGCTTCCTCTGTGAGCCAAGCTACTTCCCCTATGCAGAACTAGTTTCAAAGCCAATGAGTCATATTTGAGTCTTCATAATAATAAAACTTCTAAAGGTGTTGTGTTTTTCATGCACGGTGGTCCTGAGAAAAGTCAGTAGCAAGGGAAGTTGCTGACAGTGCCTCAATGTCCTCTGGACCTTCATAATGGCAAAAGCAGAGGCACATGCTCAGGAACAACTGGCACCAGACCAAACACCTTACCCGTGAAGGAACTTTAAGTCTTCATGAAAACAAATGGAACATTTTCTCTGGCACCGACTAAAAAGTCAAACTCCATGCAGGACAGCAAGTTAGGACCACTAATCAGGAGCTGCCACACCAGCTGCCCTTCTTCCGTCAGTATGATTAAACTGTACCAACAATGAAAAGACGGCAAAAAAGCAGCAACAGAACTCGCTTTCTGTAGTAGGGAATAAAAATCAATCTGCCATATGTCTAATAGCAGAATGTAAGCTCTCTGTCACTGTCTACTGTTTAGCTTGGGTTTCTTTGAGCAGGAGGGTCCCAGGTAACGGAACTGCTAGGAGAACATTTGCAAACTGTGTCTATTTGCGTTCAGCTGGATTCAGTGACCTTCCACAAGTCCAGCAGCCTAGATTTTACAAGATGCCACAGAGCAGCTATATCATACTTGCTGGTAGTGTGCACACGCTAATGTAATCTTGGTGTTTGGCAACACTGAAAGAAGATCCACTTAGGCAGCAAGGATTCAGTTCACAAATATCCTGAAAGCTTTAATCTAAGGACTCTAGTTTTAGAAGAAAAACAAACTGCTTTGCTCTGTAAGTAGATCTTGATTTATTAGTTGGGAATTGCTTCCTCTTGGTAGATATTACTTTTTTTTTTTTTTTTTTGAGCAATACATGCTGAAAACTACATTAGGAAAAAAGCTGAGTGAGTAAGTTCAAAATGCTCATTAAATCCGTAACAGATAAGTATATGCGTTGCTCCAGAATGAAAAGAGGGCTATACTCATGTACACCAGCTGGGAAGTGCAGCATGCTGTTACACACACCAAATCTCTGTAATAGCTCTGCCATGTTTTCCTTGAATTAGCATCATAAGTTATAGTCACTCAGCAACCCATTCTGTGCATATGCAAAGCATCAATATCTAGGACTGATATCTGTTACCTGAGCAGAAACAATAAATTTGGGTTAGTGGAATCAGAACATACACAGACAGTACTGCTGTATCTATTCAAGCAGTAAGTGATTTTCATGTGCATCTGTTTTCCCAAAGAAAAGCTTACTTTTGTCCAGCTTCTCCTTGGCCAGCACAAGGTCCATATTTATAAGCATAAACAAGGCGAGGGATGAAATCTGATGTCACAGCTATAACAAATGCATTTGTGATAACAGAAAGAATTCCAATGCCTTCCAGGATGCCATACCAGATTCCTGTTCAAAAAGGAGAATAAGGAGAGGATGTTAGCTCCAGGAAAAACAAGAACAAAAGCACCTGAGACACTGCATGCTCTGAAGCAGTTGTCCCACCACCCAAGGTCTTTTTGCATAGTTTCTATCCAAGAGTCATTGAGTTCAATTCTTTTTTATTGAACAGCAGGACCTCAGTGGACCAGACTTCTGTTCTCCTTGGGTGGGAATTTTTTTAATCCTGCAAATAATATCAAGGAAGCCACAAAAATGTTCATGGAGGCCTTGGCTCCATGAAGCCACATAACCATGTGGGCAGTTTTGAGAAATGCTGTAAGCCTCCCTGCTTATGATGATGGCTATCCAGCCTTTGAGGAGGGTCTGCCAGGGCAGCCACGAATATATGTAATCCATGATCTACACACAGGGGCCTTGTGTGTAACTCATGCACGGCTGGTCAGCCATGTACATATTGACATCAAAATCTTCATGGCATGCTAACCCTATACAATGGCACACAGCCCCTAGGCATCACCTGGGCTTTTTGGCTCATCCTCAACCGTTTGACAGATCTTGTGGTACAGGCATACAGCAACTCTAGCCATGAGGACCATCCCTGAGAACCACACCAGAGGAAGGCTAGACATACACATTGATTTTAATGAGGCATCAAACTGTCCCAGAAAACTTTACTGAATAGGAAGCAAATGCAACTCATTGTGAGAAATCACACCTGAGTAAAAAATACCTATTTTTCTGTGGTTTTATTCTTTAAATTATATAACTGTTTCTTCAGGAATTATGTCTGCAGTGTATGCTCTGTAATGGCTGTTGTCCAGACTTGTACCTAAATTTGTAGATCCACATTGTTCACATACAAAGCTTTATTCAGACACAGACTTTAGACACATGGTAGACCATTCTCAGAGCACAAAGCCTGGGCTTCTGCTATTTCACAGTGTGGGTTATTGGTTTTTGCAGTACAGATGGCAACGAGGTATCATGTTTGTCCCTCCAAAGACACCAAGGATTCAGCATTGGGCAGATAACTTTGTTTTACAAAGTCCTTCCTAAAGGTGTTTTGCTTTTTCAGGACAGAAGAGATTTATAGTCAAAATATGTTGCAATAGTGTGTGATTGGATGACCTCAAAGTTACATGAATCCTGTATTCAGCAATGTAGGTGTGCCTTACTGAGAACAAGTAATCTCTTGGGATCTAGACCCACCCTGTTTGACCAGGGGCCTAGTGGTCGTAGCCTCTGAGTCACAGGGGAGCTTGGCTTTGGCCAAGTAAATATAAAACACACAAGTCCGTTACAGGATCATCTCCAATTTAACTTGACTTTCGTGTTTCAGTTGCTCTGTCTGGTGATTATATTCAAACTGAGCAGTGGCAGGTGTTCACACAGTGTGTCTACCACCAGGAAAAACCTGCAAAGAACGCCGATCACTTCATTAAAATGGCTTGGCTGTTAAGTCACATGGAAAATCATTAAAAGACATTTTCCAATATAGACTATTAATTGCATAAGTTGATTGGCGTCAGATACTTGACGGTTTTTTGAACAATCAAATTGTGTGTTATTAATAGGGAAGATGACTGAAAATACCTTAATTTGCTCTTACTTGAAGTGGCCACTGTTTTGCCTTAAAAATAACACACATACATAACACACATATGAAGAGCTCACCTATATCTTTGGCTCTTGAAGCTAAAGGTCTTCTCCACTGGGTAACAAATTTGTATGCATCAAGCCGAATTTCAATAATATTGTTAAGTAAGGCCAGCAGCGGTGCCAGGGGAAAAGCTGCCACGAAAATGGTTGTGAATCCAAACTGAAGAACTAGGAAAGAAAAGATCACAGTATAACTATTAAGGTCTAAACCCAAAGTCTAAGATACCAAATAATATATGCATACAAACATTATGTATAACACACAAACATCTCTTATTATGCTGTACCATACAATAGTCCGGTGACACTTGTACAGCGATTGCTTGCCAAAAGTTCAGAGCAAGGATGACAAGAACAAATGCACATCTGTCCCTGGGATGGACAGCAATATCCAGATTTCATAATTTGGAGCAAAGTTTGGAGGTGGACAAACCGTGTTTTTAGAAAGGGACATTTTTACTCCAGCATCAACTAGGACCCCTCAATACCTGCAAAGATTAGGGCTGAGTACATTCCTTTTTATGGTACAGATGGGCAGCAGTTTGAAACTTTGTGTAAGTTTCTAGAGGCAGGTTTTCAGACTGCCAAATTTCCCATTAATTTGAAAAGAATTGTGTGAGGCAGAAAAGAAAACAAAAATCATAACATATGCAGTTGGGTCACATAGTGCAACAGTTCTTGTTCTTTAACATTTCTTTAAGAAGTTATTCTCCCCTCTCCTCTGATAGATCAATGCCTTTTGGCAGCAAGCTACTTTCTAAATGTGAGATAGTAAATGATGGTGAATTTTAAGTATAAGCAAGCACGCAGGTCTGTACCATGCAGTTTAAAAACAAAAGCCCAAGGGAACTTCCTTTAGTAAATAACAGTAAAGTTCTTCAGAAATGTTTGCAGATGAAGAGGTGAGCTCCGGGTTGGAAAGTGACCTTCCTCACACAAAGCCAGAATGAGAAGTGCTTTATAGATGCGAGGTTAGCAAGCCAGCAGCAGTGTGGTTAGCTACATTGTTTTGGTTTGGTTCTTATAAACTCACCCCCATTCCTCACCTAATCTGTGAGAATGAAAACCATTTTGCAGCCTCTTTAGCTTCATACAGCAATAATTAAAAGAATACACCAGCCCACATCAACAAAAAAGCAACAACGTTAAAATCTAGTGAAAGAGACAGAACAAAGGTCAGTGCCATACTCATTTCTAGGTATTCATCAAAGAGTCCATAAGCATTCATAGGTTGCAGATTGTAGTCCTTTTCCCATTGTGGGAAGCTTGTTTTCCTCTGCGTGCCATACTCTTGTCGGAGTTTTCTCCTGGTCCACCAGTTTTGAATTAGCCTACATTTTCAAATAAATTAAAGAAAAGGTAAATAATATTTACCACAAAATTGGAAGAGGCTAAGTGTGCGCAACATGCCTTGCAAAATTAATTTCCCAATGCACAGGAAAATAGAATGTTAGTAATACATGTGGCTGATGACACGGCATAGTAGGTATGAAAACAGAAATGGCTGATGGGCTGTAATCCAGGCCTAGATGTTGTAAAAATGGTGGAGGGATTTTGACATCTTTTCAGTACTTATTTACCTTATTTTTCACTACACAGAATGGCAAATTACTTCAGCACCTGTTTATATGGCAGAATGCAATGCTCTGTGGAGATAATTGAGCTCTAATTGAGAAACAGAGTGCTAATGCTGCTTGATCTCCATCTCCAGAAATGGGGGAGCTGTACTAGACTTCAAGGGGAAGATATTGTTCCTGAAGAAACGCATATGTAGGGGAAGTGCCATGGAAGGCACTGAGCCAGGAGAGAAATGAGTGCTCACATCTGAAATAAACACCTTTGCCTCTCCAGGTCAGGGAGTTGCACTGGTTTGGCCAACAAAGGACATGAGTTACGGTTAGTATAGAGGGAAAAAACCCGCACCGTGACAGATTTTCTCTGAAGTTGTGATTGGCCCCTTCATCTCAGCAAGATAGAAGGTGATGGCTCACCCAAATAATTCAGTCCTTTCCTTGACTGTGCCTCATTTCTTGCATTCACAGTGGCCTGGTCTGGTCTGTGATTGGCAGGCAAATGGCCATTGGATTTGGATAAGGGTTTGGCCAATTGTTTTCTTAAAGCTTGGAGATATTTTTCCACTCAGGCCTGATCTGGTCTGTGATTGGTAGGCAAATGGCCGTTGTATTTGGATAAGGGTTGGCCAATTGTTTGTTTTCTTAAAACTTAGAGATTATTATTCCACTCAGGCCATTTTTCCACTGAGGCCTGCTCTGCTTTGTGATTGGTAGGCAAATGGTATTGTATTTGGATAAGAGTTTGTCCAGTTGTCTGTCTTCTTAAAGCTTAGAGATTATTTTTCCACTCAGGCCATTTACCTGAGAGGTTGTAGTTTTTCTTGTCTTCCTTAAATAAATGTAGGTGCAACTGAGTGCAGGGCATTAAAATCTAGAGTTTAGAAGTGCAAGAAATATATTTAGAAGTACAAGCATGGACTTCAAGACAAGATTTGGAAGCATAAGAAATTATTAAAATATTTGGGTTTAGCAGCTTGCAGCCAGTCACTAGGTGTGTAAAAAGCCTGAAAAGGCCTTTGCTGTGAATGACCATGGTTGTAACTGATGAACTATGGGACAGTTAAGGGCACATCTTTGCAGCCCACAGTCCTTTGGGACTTTGTCTCTCATGACCTGCCCATGAGAAAGTGAGAGGGCTGAGAACTGAATTCCTGCAAATTGAGGGGTGAGGTGGGTAGGAGACCAACACACTGAGACAGATCCCAGTTAACTCCCTCTGTTGTGAAAGGGGAAACTCATAACCACTGTTACTAAATATCTAAGACTCCTAGTAAAATTCAAAGAGATGTCATTTTCTGATTTATGTGTGAGAAAAATGTGAGCAATGCAATGTGATGTGGTTTTAATATGGCTGTATGCTCTTCTTCCAAGAAAAATGTCAACTTGAAATTGCAGTTTTCCACCTCCAAATGAAGCAATAATCTATACTTTGTTTCTTAGTTATTGCAAATGCATCTATGCAGGAGAGGAGAACTGACACACACTTTCAGAGGTTTCAAGGTGATGTTTGTATGAAGCAGAAGCACCATTCTGACATGCCAGTATTTGTATTAAAAGTGTAACCATTAATCAATGCTCTAGCACATACCCTAGGGTCTCTCTTTGATATCTTTGAAACCTAGTTTTTAACTCTCAGGCAGAAGTTTCGGAAGAGAACACAATGCCACATGTACCACTGAGAAATGTGAGAGCAGGCGCTGGCGTTCCTGTCAGCAAAGAACACCCGATGACTTTTCTGACTTGCCCGGCGCGTCTCTGCAGTCCCTGTGGGAGCACATGTCTGCACCAGAGCTGGGCTGCCACCATGAAATGGTGCAAAAAACACACTCTCCAAAACTGGTGCTGCTCTCCTAGAGGTGTTTTATGGGGAAATATTCTCTGCTATCAGCTTTAGCACTGCGCAGTGCTGGCTCTGGCTGGGTCTTGGGAGGCAGCAGCCAGCACACGGGTGGAGGTGCAGTGATGTTCTACTACAGACTATAGGATTGCCTCCAGATCCTCTGGCCATCCACGTGGTGTTGGCTCTGATCACGGTCTTAGCAGAAATGGTCATGTTTTTTTCATACAAAAAGGAAATGCATTTGTCTGCAGCATTTCAGAAGAGCTAGGAGGGGGACTGAAAGGTTTGGAAAGCAAATACATCTCTCATCAGAGTAAGTTGAAGCATCTCACATTGTTGTGACTGTGCATTTTGTGTTGTGATTTTCATTGTGACACTAAAATGCAGAGACTAACTTCACCTGAAGCACTTCATTCCTATTAAATCCCTTGTTCTTAAACAATCTCCTCCTATTAAATCCCTTATTCTTAAACAATCTCCTCCTATCTCCTTCAGTCACCTTCTTTAATCCTCTTCTGTGCTCTTTATGAGGTTTCAAAATCCCTATTAGTAGCAGAAAGTTCTAATGAAAACAGACAAAAAAGGCAGGGAGTGGAAAAAGAAGGATCAATAATGCTGCTGCTGCTGCTGCTACTGCTGCTGCTGCTGCTTCCTTCTCCCCACCCCAGCTAATTTCTCCAGCCCTAACAGCTGCAAAATCCTGGCAAGCAGCTCTGGGTGCAAAGCCAGGAAGACAGAGAGGTAGCTAGCTTCGAGTACTGTGATTGACAATTATTCTGTGCATTCAAATCATTTACTCTGTTCTTGTTAGAGCTAGATGTGATCAGCGCTGTGGCTGCCTGAAATCGCTTCTGCAACACGTTTCTGCAGTTCAGGGACCAAACTCTGCGCTAGCTCTGCTGTGGATCCTGCAGCAAAGCAAATCCCTCTGAACTTTGCAAGGGCAAACTTTCTGACAATGTCAGCTCTTTCTTCTATTTTGACACTCACTAATTTCCCTTGATGACCTGACACACTGCCTGTAGCATCAACTGTCTGTATTAATCATATTACACATGCTCATTAAATACTAATCAATAAAAAATGAACCGATAGGAAATGAATAATTGTCAACATTTTTAGCTAGGGCACAGCTCCGTAGTACCCTGAAGATCACCAGGGAACTTGTCTATATACCAGTCAGTACATTTTTCTATCTCTGAGTGTGTATATGCCAGCAGAGCATTTTTTCCAGCTCATACCTGCCCTTTCAGGCATCTTTTATCACCCAGCAAGAAGAAATCCAATTTGCCTAGCTAAAAAATGATATATATAATAATTCTTCTGTAGGAAATACAGCAGTCCTACAGTTATTTTTAAGGAGTTTTAAAACACAGAATACAATTAAATAAAATCAAGTACTTCCCATATATTATTTATTTGTTAATATTTATATTATACTTTCACTTTTGCGAACTATGTCCTATGTGGAAAAAAACCGCAAACGTCATCTATCTCTATATGCCTGGAAACCTGTCTTAAGAGTTCTGTATCCTAGGGGGAGGGTTTCGATTGTAATGACTACCATATCTTGCTTTTATGTAACTGGTCATAAGGAAAACATAAACTTAGTGTTCTTTTGTGACCTACAGAAGCATAGACATATTTACTTACGGGTAGCCCAGTTCCATGAAATTATTCCAGGTCTGCTTTAACACCATTATAATACCCATCTGCATGCAGAGATCAATAAGGCATCCACTAGGGTGGCACTACAGAAAAGAACAATCAAAAGGTTAAACAGAAATAATGCCAAGTTTTAAAGCATTTCTTAAAGACTAGAAATGGACAGCAGGATGACCATTAGCCAGCATGTGCCCTCGTGGCCAAGAAGGCCAATGGCATCCTGGGGTGTATTAGACAGAGTGTGGTCAGTAGGTTGAGAGAGGTTCTCCTCCCCCTCTACTCTGCCCTGGTGAGACTGCGTCCGGAGTATTGTGTCCAGTTCTGGGCCCCTCAGTTCAAGGACAGGGAAGTGCTTGAAAGAGTCCAGCATAGAGCCGTAGAGATGGTTAAGGGGGTGGAACATCTCCCTTCTGATGAAAGGCTGAGGGAGCTGGGTCTCTTCACCTTGGAGAAGAGGAGATTGAGGGGTAATGGGTGCAAGCTGGAGCATAGGAGGTTCCACATTAACATAAGGAAAAACTTTTTCACTGTGAGGGTGACAGAGCACTGGAACAGGCTGCCCAGAGAGGTTGTGGAGTCTCCTTCTCTGGAGACATTCAAAACACTCCTGGACACGTTCCTGGGTGAACTATACTATCTAGGTGGTCCTGCTCTGGCAGGGAGGTTGGACTAGATAATCTTTCGAGGTCCCTTCCAACCCCTAATATTCTGTGATTCTGTTATACTAGATCATTTACTTAAAGGAAATTAAATGCCATTCTTTTTATTTAAAAACTCATAGGAACATTTGAGACTGCATCATACCATCAGCCTTTTAAGCCTATCATCTAATTCTCTGCAGAGGTTAGAATCAACTGAAACCAATGCAGTTTTCACCTTAGTGCTTCTAATATGTTGTGCAGCTGTGGGTGGGACAGAGGCAAAGGCTACCAAGTTTCTTCAATGATTTCAATATTTTTTTGGGAGGTTGACTGTGCACCAAGTCAGAGAATGAAGAGAAAATTCCTTGTGGCTGCACAGGCAAACAATTTATGCCTAAACGATAGACCTAGTACTGCTTACTGAGTACTATTTAATGTATATGACTGAATAGACCACGCAAAGCTATTCTCTTCTTGAAGAACTAAAAATCTCTAACTGTTGAACAGCAGTTCTTAGTGTCTCGCTGAGTGCTTTCTTGGTTTAGCAGTGGCTCCAGACCTTGAACAAGTGGTGCTGCTTCTGGGAGAGATGCTCATCTAGTACAAATTTAGGTAATTCCACGATCTACATCATTGGAAGAAACAGAAAAAGACAAAAAACTTTCTGACCCCAAGCAGGGTTTTGCACAATTGACTTTGCAGATGCAAACAGTGGAGTCCAAGCTATATTATTAATCCTGAGTATTATGGGTAAGTCAAACAGATCACTGTGATAGAACTGGAACTACTCTTTAACTTTTAGGGAGAAAAGATAGTTATGACTTGTAACAAAATGTGATAAGAATTTTTTATGCATACTGCATTACACAGACCTTGGTCCCACTGAGGTTTCTGTTGACCTCATTCAGCTTCTCTTTAGATTAACAGGGTGGCAGATAATTTTTTTTTTTTTTAATTAACTTCTCTGGCATTATTATTAAATCATCATCCTTCTGTTTTTAGGAACCAGTCACACGAGCCAATATAACCTGAGAGAAGTATGTGCAGTATTTATGAAGTAGCAGTGGTGTTACAGCCATAACATCACTGATATATGAATTGTGGTTTGAATATGCCCATGGACACTGGACTAGACTATATCGTGTTATTAAATGTCTTAGACTTGGCTTCATCCAAGAGGTGAAGAGAGGGCTATTGGAGGCTTATCTGAGCATTACATTCTAAATTACCTTCCTAATAAGACCCAGGACAGATATGGTAAATAAAGTCAAGACTTTCTTTATTAGACTTTTTTCTTACTATTGTACTTTTTTTTTGTGCTCTGAGAAAAGAAATATAGCAGGGACTACTACTAGTAGCTTTCACCAGCAACTGACCCAACCTGTAACACCTCACTGTTGCACTTCCCTCCCAAACATGGTTCTTTCTTCCTCCCATTTCTGCCCCTGCAGAGAGGTGAGGTTTTTTTCCCTGTTTTCTAATCCCTCTGTGACATGATTCAGCCTAGTAACTCACCGGAAAACTAACTCAGCCAGAAATTCCCTGCTGATACAGGTTGAACTGAATAGGCTCCTCACAGGATTGTACAAGCCAGAGCCAGTGTAGAGGAAGAGGAAGGAGCAAACTTCTGAGTGAAGGCTCAAAGGAAGAGCAGAACTGTCTTCTTTCAGTAGCAGCAAGCTGTTAAGTCAGCTCAGATCTTCTCAGACTTTGGAGGGATGTTCAGTGAATTTTTGTCTGCCCATTTATCAAGTATTCTTTCTTTGAATGTGTAGGTTCACTGCTTCAAAATTAGGATGGCTTTTTCAAATTACTCCTTTTTTTGGCTAGTATTTGTATGACCTCTATTAACTAAGATATTTATATATCTAGGAGTGTTTGTAAATTCATGTTGGCAGAGCAAGACCTGCATTTTCTGCTTGCTGTTTGACATGTATTTACAAAGTTTTTTCAGTTATTCAGCTGTGAAGCAGGAAAGAAACCATGGGATTTGAGTGTGCAAGTAGCAGCGCTGGAAACTACATGGCTGGTCCAGAAAGTGCTGCTGTTCACCTCCAATAACTGCCAAAAGGTTTTTGAATTCTGAATGTATTTGCCAAAAAATGGGATTGGTCCTTCAGTGACTTGCAAAGCCAACCTCTTGTTGTTCTCCAAATCCGTTTGGTTTTACAGACGTGGAACATTATGCCAGTAGCTCTTTTGGGAAGTTTGTTCAGTTGTTTTGGTCGAGTTTCAAGTACTTTTTAGCATCTGTATTGTTAAGTTATTATTTTATTATTTTAGCTTCCTGGTCAGCAAGGCTAGAAAAGCTGAGAAGAAAGGATTTTTTAGAAGCAAAAAGTCAGATTCATACTGACTTTGATTCATTTCAAGGATGAAATATTTCCAATGTAAAAACATGATTAATGTTTAAACCATTTGATACCACTATCCAAATGTGATGCAAACACTAAAACTGCTAGCACTGAAAAGGACATATATGTCAATATGTAGATGTTTTTGTAGCAGATGTTAGTGTCAGTAGTGTGGAGTTTGACAGCAACTGAAAACCCAATAACACACTCAAAAATACCTAGACAGGGTTATGTGTCTGTGTCTACTTGCATTCGCTGCATCTGTGGGCAGCAGATAAACCAGTGTGTAGTTAGTGAGCACTCACCTCTTCCAGTCTCCACCGATTTATCAGCCTTAAGTAGGCACCAGGGTGTCCTGTAAATCTTTAACACAGGAATATACATCAACTATGTTTTGTAAGCAGTCTGTTCACAGTAGTAGAAGAAAGCTCACGCTGTTGTTTTAATCTAACGTCTTTAATCTAAGTGTGATTCTCATATAACTATGAAAGATGTTATGCTGCAAAATGTTTTGGGGGATTCCTGGAATTATTTCCATTAAGGGCTAAACATATTTTTACTTCCAGTTTTATTTCAATACCAAATACTCTGCTGTTGGATATTCAGCATATGCAGAGAAGAGAGAAAAATCTAAATAAAACTGTTCACATCGGTCTGGAAACGGTTTTCAACTGCTAGTCTATTTCCTTATACCATAATGTGGGCTGTGATATCTGCCTTTCTGTGAAATAAGTGAAAATGTTAGTTTTAATTAGGAACACACAGTTTTCTTAGTGTTCTCCCAAAATGATTCCCACAACTTCACACATGCAAATATTCCATACTGATGGATTCTTCTACTCAAGCCTTCTCTACTCAAAGGCTCTTCTTTTGCTTTTAGGGGACTAACAGAAAGAGACATACAAATATACATATCTGTATTTCATTTTCTGTGGAAAAAACCCCAAATGATAGCTCATAATTCAGTCTTAACAGTCCAAGCCATGTAATAGAAGCAGCAAAGTGTTCAGGCAGTTGGACTAAATGTTCATTATAGGTCCCTTCCAACCAAACTGTTCTATTCTATTCTATTCTATTCTATTCTATTCTATTCTATTCTATTCTATTCCATTCTATTCCATGCCATTCTATGCCATTCCATTCGAAAAAAACACAGTGTTGAGTTATTTACTTACCTGTACAAATTCCACACATAAAGACAGAGCAAAGTGACCTGCATATATAATTTTGTGGAATGCATCAGTTCCCAGTAGTGAAATTGTTCAAAGTTAACATTAAGCCAATGTGCTAGGAAATGAAAACTATGTCTGTTTCTGGGCTTTTGGAAGGAAAATAAAACTGCAATGTGTCCTGCTTTGCTAGTATGGAATTTGCATTTTGAGATGTGTAATAATATGGTCCCATTTTGTTTCATTACAGACAATTGTATTTCTTCTCTCTACTTCATTTTGCACATGTGAGGGTGCAGATATCAATCCTACCTTCCAAGGAAGAATGCTATATAAAAGGTAGAGCTGTTCAGATTGACAAACTGAAAAAGAAACATTTTCAGAGTGAAGCTGTTCTCCCACTCGGATTCAGTACGAGGCTGCTCTGTGAAGAAAGAGAACAGAGTTTCAGACTTTAATCAGATTAGCAATTTCCCTTGGCACAAAGGCTGCACACACCTATCAGAGCTGGCAATGTATTTGTAAATTAGCCTGCTGATTCCAAAATACAAGCTGACAGAAGAAATTGTATCCAAAGGCAGTAAACAGCAAGAGAGCTTGTAAAGAGAAATCTCTTCTGAGATCTGGATGTGTATATTCCCAGTAGACTGTGAGAAAGTGGTTGAGATGATGTGTATATTAAACATCCCTCCTGGATTCTTGTGTGCTTTACAGGCTCAGGCTTCTTCTCTTGTTTACTTTTCTCCAACCTACCATAATGATATTGCCAGAAAGTACCTCACTACAGGCTATAGAAGTGCTTTTTTGTTAGAGATGTCACACTGAACTGGAGGAAATCCTCCTTGTAACTCTGTTTCATGGATTTGCCCACTATGCTGGCACCTAAGGACTTTGCACAGATATCAGTGGAGTGCCACTGCATGACTGCCTTTCCTTGTCCCAGGGAACTCATCACAGAAGACTGAGAAAAAATATTTTGCAATGGATGGGGTAAGGCAAAGGGAATGGGGAAAATATATTTTTCCCTTCAGGTAGGCCCTTAATCTCCATGTAAAGGAGTAATCAGAGAAGTGGAGGTACTCATGGTGATTCTGAGTATCATGATGGTAGTACTCATATACTACCTTCAAGGGAGCCTCCAGTAAAGTACTGGAAGTACAGAAACAACAATAATAAACTAGATTCTCTTTAATTAGAGCTGCCCTACCCATGAGGAAATTTCAAATAGATGCATCAACAAAACTGTAAACCAGACCATAAATTAACAACTGTGTTAGTGATTTGGAAACGCCTGTCAAGAGACTGAAGTTTGCGTGTATGCCAGTACATCCACATTTAGCTAAGCAGAAAGAAACAAAGCATCATGGATTTTTGAGGCCAGTCTGTGGGAAGGACAAGTGCAACTTTAACAAGTCTGCTGCAGCTGAAGCTTTGCTCATATGACCATCAAAGACAACGGCAGCGCTCTGGAGGAGAATGGACGTGAGCTCTGAGAAAGGTCATGTAAAGGCTGAAGAAGGACATCCTGAATGTATCTGCTGCCAATCCCACTCTGAGCTTATTACACTGATAAAGATCATTCAAACCAAATCAGCTACTTAGGCCATCAGAGTAAAAACTACAAAGCAGTCTGAACACGATCAGAACAGCTTGACCCACACAAGTGCTTTCTGCATAGGCAACAAGAAGGAGACCTACCTTGATGATAACCTGGCAGAAAGTAATCAAGCTTCAAGGTCTCTAGACCATATCTTACTGTCCCCAGGGTGTCACAGGGAGTAAAAGGGCACAGCCTGTGCAAATCACATACTTGAAAGTCGTATTTCTCAACTGTATCTAGCAGGTATATTTTCCATGGATATAGCATGGCAAAAATATTTTAAATTTACAGCATACAGATGAGGACTCCCAGTACAGTAAGAAAGAATAGACTAAAATGCTATCCTACACAGATGTGCTTTGAACACATCACCTACTACTTCCCAGATGTAGAAAAGCCCTGACACTGGCTAAAATCAGCCGTGTGTTTCCTATGATCAGACACCAAAGCCTGTGCACCTGGTCCAAAACACCTTACTGAACATCATCAACCTACACAGGTAGCCAGAATCTCAATCTCCTCAAATCACTTCTATACGTGCCATAATATAGTTCACTTAATAGGCCTTCAGCAAGAGTCTCATTTCAGGATTCGTGACACTAAGGAGCCTTGCCAATTGCCACCAACTTCTGCAATCTTCCAGCATGTTCAGGATCTCCAGACACTCTGCCTGAGCCATGGATATATGACTGATAGCCTTTTGCTACCTCAGTGACAGTACATACTCTCCTTAGAAAATACGCTGTCCTTACTCTAGCATAAAGATCACCTTTATGGGTGAGCTGAAAAGATTACTGAAACTTAGGACACCATTAGAGTTTAGGTGTTGGTAGAGTTGATGAGTCCCCTAGTTATTTTCCCTCCAAAGTACTGACCCTCTTAAAGGCATATGTTTGATAGTCAATAAGCACCTTAGTATCAAGCTATAAATTTGGCTTCCAGAAGTGATTCCCCCATTTCCAGGTCTTTACAAAACCGGGGTTTGTGAGTGCTCAGTCTCTCTGAAAACTCATGGTTTTTCCCCCCAGCATAAAAATCTGTTTAAGTTCTTACAAGGTAAGGGGTTGGAACAAGAACCAAGCACGGCAGGTAGTTGGTTGTTGTCACCACCAACTGAATGGCACTATTACTTAGTTTATACGCTCCTTTGTTATAAACTTAAAAAAACGTTAAATCCTATAGATTGCAAATTAATCAGTTTTTTTTTGTATTTACACAGACAGTTTGAATGCTATCACAGTATAGGGACCAAAAAATCAGTACAATATAATTAAATTTTGTATTTAACATTGCTTACCTAAATTTGTCAGGAAAAGAGCAACCTTTTCATACAGCTGTAACAGAGAAAAACCAGTCTTTTAGATACATGACTAGCTCAAAAGTATAGAATGGCTTTCTAGGTAGAGTAACTGCTCTTCCATGTTAAATCTGACATCCAGATGGTCTGTGATGTTCTGATAATGATGATAATAAAACTATATAGTAATAATATGATAATGATATAATCAAACAGGGAACAATAATATTTTTAAAGGCTATACTCAGCTCTTTTCATCTACAATACATGGAGAAAAAAAATGCTGTCACTGCCCCTATTTTACACACACAATGAAAACAGGTGAGATAACTTTTCCGAAAACACAAAGCAGAACAATAGCACAACTGGGATTTTTGTTTTAGTTGCATATGGAACATTTATCTCACAAAAAAAAAAATCATCCTAGTAAGAGTATGCTCTGGTATGTTGGGTATTTTGGGCTTTGGTTTAGTTAGGGAATTTTTTGGTGCTGAAAGGAAACACACTGGGGAGGGAGGATTGTTTCAGAGAAAGGCTTTAGTAATCCCCCCCTACTAGACACATTTCTTACTCTGAGTTAGTGACCTTGTTCTAAACCCTAAGTGGTACTTCTGCACTTAACAGATACCATGTTCTCAAACTCTCTGGGAAACTGCTGACTTCATAAAGCTTACAAAAACTAACTTGGAGGGTTTTCACAATTAGTATTTGCAAAGGGGTTTTGAACCTATAAAGGTCATCACCACCAACATCAGTATTAGTGTAAATTAATACAACGGTTTCCATTTGCTTTAAATGAATCTGGAGCCTGTTCCCAGAAAACACTAGATGTCCGTAACTCTCACTGATACCTACAGGGATACAAAGCTTTTCATATTGCAGGCTCAAGTACTTACTTATTCCTAAAGTGGATATCAGTAACGTTTCTTTTCATTTGCAGTTATCTTTATAAACTCTTGCTTAAATTGAGTTATGTACAATTTACAGATCAAACTGCCAGCTAAGAACTGAGGTCATCCTGAGTTCTCCCATGCATGTTTACAACCACTTCTTGCTTAGAATAGCTTTTTGCTGCCTTTGGAGTAAACAGTTTTGTTTCAAGTAATGAAAAAGGTGTTTTCTTCTAGGTTTAAAAGCATCTCTTAAGGGCAACTGTAAAAGCACTGAATGTCTTGGATGGTTTATATCCTGCTCCCAGCCAGGAGTGTGCTACTTTACGAATGTACATTGCTCTGCAGAAGGGGTTATCAAAACTGTATTTTGTTGCTATTCCTCCTGGAACAGTAAGGCTGTGCTACAAATTCTGTTAACAATGTTTGGATCTAATTACTTGTTACTGTATTTTATCACTAGTAGTCCCAAGGTGCTTTGTTTAGGATCGTATTCTGTTCTGTGTTTGTATTTTCTATGGGTGGTATCACTAGAATTAACAGGTTTTATTAACCTAGGTAAAGCTAATGATTTTTCCCAGGTCAGACTGCAGGATTATCTGGAGATATTATGCTTGAAGGTCACTTCATTTTGTCATAGTTCATGTGTCAGTGTATGTACCTAGCTCTCAGAGCATCCAGTCTAGAAGTTGCTTGTGGTCTAGACCTTTCCCCTGATGCTTAGAGAGGTTGTCAACTTGTATCAGAATCACTGATGTTTTTTCAGGCTTCCTAGCAGTGAATTCCCTACTGTCACATACATTTTGGTCCATTCTGGTTTTATTACTGTGTCTTTGCTTGCTCTCCTGCTACTTTTCTTGAGTCACAGTTTGTAGAGGATTCAACTACCTGAACTGCTCCTGGGGAATTTTTTTTTTTTTTCCTCCCAAAAAGAAATCCCACTACTGTACTCCTGCAAACTACATTAATCCATCATGGGAAGTGGGGGATTATGTTCTCAAGTCCTTCTTTTGAAAAGCTCCTGTAGTTTCATATTTTGGGGATCTTTTGTTTCAATGAGCTATATCCAGATCTAAGGCCATGATGTTTATCGCACGGGAATGAGTATAAGGCTTAAGAAATCCATCTTTGCAGTGCTCTACTTATTTGATGTATTTTAGGAAACAAGACAAAGTTTCTCAAAAGGCACCTTCAAGCAATCTTCCATTATTTTAAAAATTTCTCTAAGCTGTAAAACACTTTGAGAACCAAATAATTTTGTTTGTGCAGTATTTCTTTTTTGCTGCTTCACTGAATATACAATGACTTGTACTGAGAGCTTGGAAACAGGTGTTGTACTGACATAGATATATAAAGTTTTCTTTTTATTTCTTCTATGCTTATTGTGTGCTCTAGGTAGATTAAATAAAAACCCCCAAAACCCAACAAACAATAAATCAAAAATAACGTAAAAGAAGAGAGTCTTCAGTATAAATTCAGAGAGAATAACTGCTTCCACCTCTTCTTTCTGTCCTTTCTCAGTCTATAGTCCCACCTTAGGGAAAACATAAGAAAGTCAACAGTTCTTGATATACTGCCCTAGTCACCAATCCAATCTTGCCTATGCCAAAGGGAGAAATGAAGTCCTGCAGCAAAACCTCTTAGAATTTCCTGCTGTATAAATGAGGGGCTGTTAAAACTAATTTTTAGATGATGGAAACGCTTGAGTATTGCACAGGAAAGAAAGCACTTGGAAATGTACAGGTCTGAAATAACATCTCGTGCTTCCCCTAGGAACTAAGTCGGCATATCTTCTGGAGCAAAGCCTAACATGCTTTTTGCAGAAGACACTTGCTACTGAGTGGGTAGAGGTGTTCCACCTTGGCTCCTGTAGCTGGATGGTTTGTAGGTTGATCCCTCCTCCCCCTTAAAAGGTCAGTTGACAAAAAACCTAATAGCAAAAGGCCATACACCTCTTGCCAAGAGCAACTAATAGAAGACACATTGCTATCACAGCAATATACAGAAGCACCTTCATCTCAATGGAGGGATGAAATTCATTCCCCATATAATCTATGCTATACTGTCTTACTGGGGCTTTTATAACACAGAAGTTCCATTTTTGTCTATGTCCCGTCTGGTTCCAAACCAGTTCACAACAATAACCTGACCTCAGGCAGCCCTGCTATGATGCACCTAGACCATGTCTCTGGTGTGCCCTGGCAAAGGCCATAGGCAGCCCCTGCAACAACTCACATCTGCTCAAGCCTTGTGAAGTTTTCAGTGCATGGGAGTTCTCTTGCATATGGACATTGTGTCTGTATATGCATATCTCACTGGTAACTACTGTGAAAACTGAAACTGGAATACAGAAACTAGTAAAACTGAGAATCAAATTCAGCCACTGTATCTAAAAATTAACATCAAAACACCAATTAAAAGAAGAATATTGATGTAACAGACTGAAACCTGCAAACATATGAAATGAAAAAAGGAAGCAGAGAATAAAACAGGAATATGAACATGTCTCCCTGAAATACATTTTAGAACATTCAAACGCGCTTTATATAATGTTTTGGGTTCGGAATTGTAGTTTATCTAAATAATGAGTGAAGTCCATAAACAATAATGCACTGTCTGGTTTAGCAAGACACTGCACTCCCGCTGAAAAAGGAACCAAAAGCATTCCGTGGTCTGCAGACTGAGGTATCTACTAATCTGATGGCTCGGGTATAATTTTGGATATGTTACTTTTACTCACCACATTCAGTAGCATGATGATGCAAAAGTTGATGCACACTGCAGTCCCTGTAGTTGCAACCTGAGAGTTATTCCTGATTAAAGCCCACTTAAAGGCAGCAAAAGTGCTGACAGTCACAACACGGTAAATAACAATGCCAAAAACGGCAGCAATCACCACACAGATCTAAAGGAAGAAAAAAAAAAGAGAGAAGAACCTGAAAACTTTCAATAGACCATGAGTTAACTTCTCCCTGAAACTCTGAAAATTAAAACAATGAAAGGAAAGATTTGAAAAATACATTCATTTTGACTCCAGTGAAAGGTTTCAACATGAATATTCTTCTTATTGTAAAGTCCTTTTTATTTTCCATATTGCAAAATACCTTTGAATTAATGTTGAAATAGTATTTAGTCTTAAACATTTTCTTGAAAATGTACCTCTTCCTCAGCATTAATATAGGCAACAGTGTGGCCAGCTCCGGGAATTAGAAATTTTCCTTACATGCATGTTCTGCGATGTGCAAAGGCTGCTCTCAAGCTGATGTCCCAGCTTGATAGTGCCATATTTGGGATGGATTTTATGCTTTGATGGACTTCACACTTACAGGAAAGAAGGTCTCCATTTGTAAGCGCTGCCTCAACAACAGCCCTGGCAAGCTACCCTAGCACGCACTTTCTTGCTACGATTCTGGAAAGATTCTATCCAGGGAAGGTAATAAATTCAATTGCAAATGTGACAGTTACAACGCTAAAGCCATGCAGCTGCTAAATCACCGTATGCAACAGTTGAGCGCTAACTGACAACTGTTTTCCATTGTGACTAGTTTATGTCACGGTTTAGCAATCCACCTAAAGGACGAACAGTTGGGAATTAGCATGGGTGGCTCACCTCATAGAAACTGTGACACAGTACCTGCTAGCCACCTTGTTATATAAGGAGAGAGAGTTTCTTCAGTAGAAGACAGATGATAATTTGCAAAAGACAGGTGTATTCCAAGGTTATGTATAGTCAAATTAAACCTATCAAAACTGAAGTATACCTAAGCTAATTGAATGGGCAAACTGGTTTTGAAAACACTGAATGCTAATCAAGCTGGTTTCATATTTTATTAGTTACAGAATGGGTTGACATAGTCCCAACACAGAAGAAAAAGAAAAGTGTGTATGAATGAGAAGGATTGTCTCTGGATTCTCTGCACAGTGTTGAGGGTTCCTTTCTTAACCGGGAACCACTAACCTGGTTCAAGCTGTATTAGTAACTGCACTGTTAGAGTCAATGCTGTGAAATTTTGAGAACTGCTCTAACTTGAAGTTTTGGTAAGTGTCTGTCTCCTGCACTTAAGGCTATAAAAGCTATTAAAAAAAATAATAAAAAGGAATATTTTTACCTAAATGGGGGAAAATTCAGAGCTTTTCTAACTCATTAGAAGCCTATACTATGACAGCAATAAAAAATATCTTCAGTGAAAATAATTCTTGTCCTGTTTCAAGGATTGTTAAGGTGACAATTTGTGTTGCATGCAATTCAAAGCAAGGCTACTCTCTCTGCCACTTTGAGCAAGATCTATCTCTCAGGTTAATGACTGCATTTGTGAAGGGTAGGGAGTGAAAACTGTCCCCCCTCAAGAAAAAAACATAGGGAAAATATGCAAAATGTTGCAGGTGTAGAATCGTTTCTAAGCAGAGACTGCTGTCCTGAGCAGACGTGTCTTCAGGGACTGAGACAGACAATACGTTGGCTCCTTGTGCCCAGGTTCTTTGTGTGTCTCTGTCCATCCACCTGACACACCAGAGCACAGCTCATCTCAATAATGCTCTTGCTTTCTTTGTCTGAGATTGCTTGGACAATTTTGAAGCCTTCTGTTTCTTAGAGCCCTCTGTTCCCTCCCATCTCATTCAAACACAAAGTTGCTGGGCTACCCCACCTAACCAGCTCTCCTCAGCTCCTGAAGTTATACGCACATATCATTTTCTAGTCTCCTGGAAAAGCCCTAGTAAATTCCATCAGGGTCTGAATTGATGCGAGCTGTGTTTTCAAGACCAGTCCTACCACTGCTGTTGTTATGCGAATAACAGCAAATAACAGCAAATAACAGCTTCAGTGAAGTGAGAGGATGAGGGCATTTCAGCAGAACTGCATGCAGCTCTCTGTTAGGAGAAATTTTGCTGTTGCATTTAGTTTTGTACTTTGAAAGGGGGAGAGTTGCTTCATTTTAGACAAGGAACATTGGTTTCTCCATTTCAATTGCACTAGGAATGTGAACCCTCTTTCCTTACCTCCTCAATGTGCTGAAAAACTAGGACATGTTAACATCATTGAGCACCCTAGGTGCCTTAGCTAGGTTCTCTTTAGAGTTTACAAAGAACAACTGTCTCTTCCATGGCATCTCTCCCCATCACTCTGTGCTGTCTGCACAGGGAAGGCAAGGAAATCAGTGAGCTAATTGTCAGCTGAAGCTTGTGCCTAAATGTGATAGCGTCACTATTCTGGCATGTGTGCCACTGCATATAGCATTAGGTGTGTGGCCTTGAAGGAAGGACTTAACTACCTGTGAGACTCAGCGAAGAGTAGTGTAGGACTTTACAGAAACTCAGGCAATTTGCTAAGTACAGCCTGCGGTAAACATGCTAGAGCTTATTTCACTTTCAAGGAGTCATATCCGATATCTCCATCCTCAGAGATAACATTATTTTGTACTTTTTCAACTGGTAAATAAATAAAAGTTCTCAAACCATAAAAAATATTCCAGATGCAGAAACAATGAGTCTGCTGCATTTGTCTGCAAATGCTTGGTAAGGCTCTGGCTTCCCGGATATGGGGTTCATTCGTTCTTTCTTAGAGTACTTGGCTTCAAACTGCGGGCGTATTTCCTCCTAAAGAACAGACAGAAAATGTTCACATACAGCACAGGTAGGAAAGACTCTGTAGGAAACTTCAGATCATTTATCAGATCATTGTTATTGGGAATTACAAATTCAGCAGCTGGCACAGCTTCTATAAAAGCTGAGCTGGGAAATCAGGTCTCCTTCATGAGAACTAGAATAAATCGCTGTACCCATAAAACCATATTGGAAGTATTTAGTAAACTCCCCAATTAGCTACTCATCTAAGCAATGCTCTTTCAAACTATGTGGCTGTAAGCCACATAATTTTAAGGTGGATACCAGCCTGGTATTATCTTATTGATACTGGGATTCTACAACAAACAAAAAGAAAATAAAACAACCCTCCATTTTCCAAACCCAATTGCTGTTTGCTAGGTAATTGCTTATATTCCCGTTATCATCCGAAGTTTCTCAGCATTTGAAGAAGGACCCATGCCATCTAATATTGCTCAATTCCTTCCTAACTTGGGCAATATTATTAGCAGGAACAGCTTTCAGAGCAGAAATGTCAAGTCCTGCTTTGCCATATAAACTCTCTTCTGAAATGAACCCTGGGGATTTCTTGGGGACAGACTTGGTTACATCAGTTTACAGCCTTGTCAGAAGACAAGGTTTACCCTTAGTTCAGGTAAGACCTCACGGTTTTCAGCTACAGTAGGGCTACCCACAGCAGGGCAGCACCCCACTGCCCTGCCATCTGGGAGGTTCACCAATAGCCGTGTGTCCTGTGCCACCTCACACAAGTCTGACATTGGGGATGCTGCCAGAGATGAGAGAAAGCCCTAGGCTGCAAAGACGGACTCTCACAGCTGGTGGCAGTCCATATACATTAGACAAAGTTTTACAATGCTGTGATGCATACTGGAGAACTGGCCCACGTACAGCTGGCTACAAGGGAGCACAGAGGCAGCTATGGACTGTCTGCAGCTTTTCCACCAGGCCTCTGCTGTGCATTTCTTTGTGACAGCCAGGAACGCAGCTTACCAATTTCGGTCACTTCCAACCCTTCAGCTGCATTTAATTGAACTTTGACTGACCAAAAGTTGTAAATACCTGGACCTTAAATGATTGAAAGAGGTGATTGTTAACTGCTCATACAAGTATTTAAAATGTGAATAAAAATAAGATATCCTAAAATCCTACATACTTTTTACAAAGTTCCTCTGGGGGAGAAAAAGAATAAATCACGTATCATTCCCATTCTCTCAAATTTGGAAGACACTTTCTCAATACAGTTAATTTCCAAATTCAAGCAGCAACCTGGTAACTTGATATTAAAAAAAGTTAAAAGCCATGTATGCTGAGCTGTAATGTCTGTGTAACTAATTATGTGCTTGAGGAAACGAGCCCTACATTAGCTGTATACAGAGGCTAAGCAAGTATCTGTGGAGACAGGGTAACCCCTGGCTCTTATTCTACCTTGCTCAAGCTGTTCCTGCCATATCAGGGCTGAAGGCTACTGAGCAGACCAGAATCTAGCAAGAGAAACAATGCAAGTAGTATTCCTGTGTGCCCAGGGACATACAAAAGGACAGTGTGATAGCATTGAAGCAGGGCATTTGAGAATTGCACCCTGTAGATCATGCAAGGGCTCTGCCAGCTGACTTATGGAGTCATATACAAGAAACCCTTTCTTTTCTGCAGCTCTCTCTAAGCCAAGGTTTGGGTATCTTTTCCAATCCACACTATAGGGAAGCCCTTATTATATCCACCTGTCCATGAATCTAGGTATCTCCTATGATCTCCAGTTAATTCAGATCATGAGAATGTTGTTTTTACAGATACATCTCCACACAAAACTGGAAGTCTGGCATGAACCTTCATATCTGTTTAATCACACACAACAATGCTGAGCACAGCTTGGGGCAGGAGGTGAACAGTACTGCATCTGGCTGAGGTTAATGTTACAAAGAAAGTGACACTGAAGAAAAAGAAAAAAGTACTCTGTAAATAGCAACAGAAGCCATATTTCAGCTGGGAGTTTGGGGAATCCTGTGCAGTTGGTTTCTTGTTGCGCGTGCAGCCAAGACCCAGTTATTCTCCATGTCTCCCACTTCACACCTCATTTAAAGAAAAGGATATCCAGATATGCAGGGTTGAAAGAGCCCAAACACATTCAGCCCATGTCCCCAGGCTGGGGGACCTGGACACCGAGGGGGCTGCTGCATGTCTTCCTTGGGTGAACATCTAAAGTGGTGAGGAATTCACAAGGTTGCAAGTGTAATTCTCCTTCCTACTGTCCTCATTGTTTCATTTCTTTGTCTCTTCATTTAGAGCAGAAAAGTGATAATGAAGTGATAGGAAGCCTTATAAAAGCCAATCTATTGTTTGTAGGAATTAATACATTTCCCTCTGTAGCAAGACCTTATTTTTCAATTTGACAATGAAAATTAAAGATAGCAAAAGCTAGACATGGCAGATAATGCTAATAAAAATAACAATCTTCATTAACAAAAGCTTGTGACTTAAAATGGTAATTAGAACTCTTTAATTGATTTCTTTGAAATAGCTAATAAAAGAAATCGGCTGATTTTGTCCAGTGATAACTGAATGGAATGTAGAGGAAATCTAATTAGCAGTGATTTTGTTAGAAAGCAGCACTTTTAGGAGTAAAATTTTCACCTTACGGAGACTAAATTCTCGCTGACATCTCAATGACAATTCATGATCAAACTCCACAGGATGTGTCTTTTTCAATCTACATAAACCAGACTGTTCTCCTTCCTTTCCACTTCTCAAACATGGATCACTCCAATTCTTTACTCACAAGAGAAAGCATACTGATTTCTGGACTATCAAATATGGATTAATGTGCACTGCCTTAGGCCAGATCTTTCTGCATTAGAAGGGCTACTCTAAATTTCTTTGTGAAATATATCCTTTTCTTTCAGGAGTTTTGAGTCCTTCAACAGGCGAATTCTTGCAGGAGTCCTATGCTTCCTAGTCCAAGGATATATTGTCCTCTATAGCCTGGATGAAGAAAAGGGATTTGTAAAAGATTGGAAATCTGAATCTTGATCACTGGAACAGTGATAGCATCCCCAGAAGTAAGTCTCCTTGCAAAACCTGGGGTTTGCAGGTCATTCTGCTTGCAGCTGAAGGCAATGGCAGAGACGAGGTGGACTTTGAACCGCAGAACAGGGAAATGGTCCCAACATTTTTTTACCTGGGACATCTGCTTCCAAACAGTGACTGTCTCAGGGGCAAAGTCCTGCAGAGCCCCCAGTGCCAATGGAAAAGTGCCAGCATTTCATACTCAAGAAGAGGAGGCAGTGGTCCATAGAGCTGACCTTAAAGCAAGGACATGCTTGAGTTGTGCAGTAGGTATGGCCACTGACAGCTGTAGCGTCTTCAAAGAAGACACCTCCAGGAGGTAATCAGCTCCCACTCTTCGGAACCCACTGAACGATGAACAAAGGAGGAACTGATGCCTCAAATGCCAGCGAGATACTGATGCTCTGATGACTGGTCACATAAATCTTTGAGAAGCAGCCAGTTGAGTTCCTATTGGCATCTTTAACCTCTAACTTGAGAGGAAAGGATACTATCTGGCATGTTGCTTCTGAAAAGACTGCTCCCTTCTGTTGTAGAGACTCATAAAACTATAAGAAGATGCAGTGAATAGCTCTGGAGCAGGTACACTCACCACTGCCCCAGGGCACCTGACTGAGGTCTTGACAGAGCTCATTGGAAAAAGCCTGGTGCGAGAATAAAAGACCAGCTGTCCATCAGTGGGGAGCAGGTATCCTCTGAAAATTACCAACATGCCTATGTCATCCTACAGGCCAAACTGAAATAATCTACCAATGGAATACACGAGGCTCTTGTAAAAAAGAATTTTGTTTGATAGAGATCATAAAATAAACACATCATATTTCTGTGAGGATAGTTTCAACCACCAGAAGCTCTTTCAGGCTTTCTGACTGGAAGAGGAAAAATCTAGCAGCTCTCCTATCTTCTATCTTTTCAGTATTTATTCCAGGTAAAGGCTTAGTTGCATTGGTTTGGTAATGCTCTTCTAAAAAAATCTTAGAAAACAGAGAGCAAATCTTCCATGGGAATGCTTTCCTCCAGGTTCTGCAAGAGGACATGCACTTTCACTAGAAGCAGCAAGGTTGTAAGTGGAGTTCAGGCATGTGCATAAAGTACTTGGGAAACAGAGTGAGGAGTGGTCCTGAAAGGGCTTAGAGCTGTTGTGCTCACACTTCAGCAGAAGAGTCCTCCAGGCATTACCACAGCAGCCAGAAATCACTTAGTATGATTACATAGAAAGAAAAAAAAGCGCAAAGCATCTCTTAAGGGCAACCTTACCCTGAAAGTCAATATTTGTAAATGAACTGATCACAGAAGATTCTGCAAGACCAGGCTTCCTGGGAAAAAACATAAAAAGGACTTCATACTGTACAGGCTTGTGTATTTTGTTAGTTTAAAGGCTCCTTATTCTGGGGACACTGAGCTATAATCCTGACTTGGAAATTGCAGTTTGGTACATCTATCTTTTGCCTTAGCTGTCAGCAGTAGCAGTGGCTTTTTTGCAACTAGTCATGAGGGGACATGATCGCTGCAGGTCAGTCCTGACCAATATTTGAAACTCATACAGGACTATCTCGATGTGGTCTCTCTGTGAGTCGTCAGTGTTAGCAAGAGCAGGCTGCTAATCTCAGGAGAGTTAAATCAGTATTAGAGTATTTTCTAAATATATTACTGAAGTACCACCAAGGATTAACAGCATATGTGTACAAATAATGATGTTCCTGTTGCTATAAAGAAATCAATTTCCACTTGTATAAGTTATTTCATTTTATGGTCTTGGATTTTTTTCTTGGTCATTAAGAATTAAAAAAAACCAAACAACAAACCTACCAGGAAATGAGCAATTGTACCATTTCATGGCCTCATTGAACTACATTGCCTCATGGAGACAAAAATCCCATAACTCAGATATCTGTTTCTCTGCTGGCAAGATTAACAAAAAAGAAATTCTTCTGCAGAGGCAGCAATACAGAAGTTTAGCTGCATTGAGACCACTACAGCAGCCTCTCACAGTCCCTCCAAGAGCTTCAGGACAGTCTCTGGAGAGGAAGGAGAGCAGACTCTGTGAACACTTGCATGTCCAAATCGCACTCGAGGAGCACTTTTCCTGACACACCCACTGAATCTTGCTTTTCTCCTGCATAATAAAACCTTCTAGTTCCACTTAGACCTCAGCTCTCAGTCCCAAGAGCGTGCTGTTTCTTTCTTGTAACCACCACAGAAACAGGTTAAGGCTACTTTTTGCAGTTTAGTTTCCTCCCTAAGGGGATTTCCTCTACCAACAGAGGATGAATTAAGTCCTTTGATTTGTTTCATCTCCTTGTCTCTCTGCAGCACTGTATACTTAGGTTACCACAACCGGAACATTCAGGAGCTGGTACAAACCTCACATGGCTTTCCCTCTGTCAATATTCGTCCTGGCTATCTAAAAGAATAGATAAAAGCTCATTTGCCAAAATTCATGGTACCCTGGGCTGTCAAGAATTTCCATAGATTCAAAAGCAAAATTTGTTAGCTTTCTTCAAAGTGCGTTGTTTTCTTGAGATCTCCCACAATGACAGCTGGTGATATATTGGAATTAATTTAGATTTACAAATGTGTAAAAAGAGAGGACAATTTGGCCTGTGGAAAGTTTCTTCACATTCCAGAGGAAACATCTGAGGAGAAAAATGCCTATTTCCCAGTTTGTGAAGATTTGAAGAATGAATTGAAAATAAATCCAAAAGAAAAACATGCTTACATTTTTAACCAAATCTTTCTGTATTAAAGATTAAGGAGTGTATTTTTTCATACAAACCTCTTCTTCTTCCCAGTCTATCAAGTCCCAGTCATAAGCAATTACTGCTCGCCTTCTTTTCCAAAACTCCAGAAAAACAGTTGCTGGAGCAAATAAAAAAAAAAGTACAAAGTTGTTTTTGAGTCAAGAGAATGTTAACAAGTATCATAGAACTGTTGAATGAAGCTGTTACGTTGTTTTCATTTCTTTGCATAAATGGGTTCCTTTGAACAGCAAATCATGCTGATGATCACAACTGCTTTCAAAAAGCATTTCTTTCTAAGGATTACTTTACTTGCTTCAAGTATGATTGAGGCTTTAGAGATTGCATTTAGTGCTAAATGAGAATGTTTAATTTCTAAGCAACCAAGGGAGGACTCTCAAAGAATAAAATTGTTCCTGTGACTCATCATTACTAGATATAGCAGATTTCTGGTGAAGCTAAAGGTTTCTTGGGGCTATTGTAGATAAAACAGTAACTTTCCTTCTTTGAAAACCATTTACAACACACAGAAACCGGAACCTAGATGAAGCACATTCCAGCGCATGTGCAAATCTGTAAGGTACTAGTGAGGAAACGGGAACTTTTGTCTTACACATTTCTAATCCAGACCATTTCTTTTACACTACGTGAGTGTGTATATGTGGTGTGGCATTAACATTTGACAATTAAACATTCTGTGCTGTACAGCCCTTATTGACAGAGTTCAAGATAGTGTAATATGCTGATACATGACTGTGCTTCCATTTTGTGATGGAAAGAACAATCAAGGAAGCACTCAGTCATTAAACAATAAGTTTATACTCTGCAGATTAACAGTGAGCCTGTTTATGGTTACAGGTTTTTTAAATTTGTTTCATTATAAGAATGTAGAAGCTGCCTAAAGCTAAAACAAATCAATGGAGAGGCTTCCTCTCCCGCTGTGAGGTTTGTCTCTTCCCTTTATTGCTCACTGAAAAGCATCAGGCTGATAAACACAGAGAACATAAACCTCCTTGTTCATGAGCTAGCACAGTATCAGCTGTACCAGTGTCACAATAGCCAGGCAATATGTTCCACATCCAGTCCTAAAAGCATCTCCTTAATGGACTATCTGCCCTACTGCAGCATATTGATAATGATGTGACATGATACTAAGTACTGGCATCAGTTTGGTGAAAGTGGATTTTTAGCCAGTAAGAATTATTATATTTTAATGTATTAGCCAATGCAGCTAAGGTATGTTTAGAAAATGGACACTGTGAGCAGATAAGGTAAGATCAAAAGCATGTTTAAGGAGGCAGCTATTTGGTTTGGAGGCATTTTCATATGCCACGTCATCCTTTTTCTGAAAGCTGGAGTTACGTTACACCAGGTAAACAGATATTTGATTTAATCTAATAAAGAAAGTCAATTCAATCTCCTAAGCCTAATGTTTTTATGACTTTTTGTAATGATTGCAGTATGATTGGTTGAGATCAGCAAAACTAGTAAGTACTAGTGAGGCTCTGCTACTGCTGAACTGCCACGTTGTTCATTCCTTGACTTGTCTTCTGGTGAAGCTGAATCTCTCCTATCAGCTCATATTGAATTATTTTGTACAGGCTAAACAAGTAGCCCTGTACTTTTTGGAGACCTGGGAGAAACAAGCCTGATTGATTACTACAGCTCTTTTTCCATTCCAAAAAGCAGCTGGGAGCAGGAATCAAGTGGGTGTACGAGTCCACAAGCATGAACCTCTCAGATATGTCTGTGCTGAAGTGTACTTATTTTCTTTCTTGTTTTTCCCACACCTAGAGCAAGGAATCTATACACGTTATATTTATTTTATTTAGCACCCATTAGAGCAAGTATTTGCAGTTCCTGAAGCTTCTTGAGAAAGGTATTTTCAAATCATTAAGTAGCAAATAGGATGATCTACACAGCACTGTTTTAGCTTTTACTGTGCTACACTTTTCTCTCTCTATCCAGGTCAGTATGCACTTTTCCCTTGCTAGATATTTTAAAATGTGCTATAAATAACCATCTTTGATTGATTCACTGTACTACTGAGGTATTCTAAAAAGTACTGCATTTTCAAATTTCTCTGCTTTTTTTCTAGTCAAGTAATCACTAATAATCTATATCACACTTTAGCCTTCTTTTCTGACGTTGTCAGCTCAACAGGACATGTATTTATTGTTCTCCCATTTTCCAACTCGTATGTTTAAACCAGATGCTGAGAATTCTCCAAAAATTCTGCTTGGAATTTTGAATTTCTTGTTGACCTTAACTCCCAGGTATTTTGCTAGCTTTCCTATACTATACTTGCCCTGTTTCAGAGCTTGAATTTACAGCTCAATCCTCAACATCCACTTGTACAAACAGCTGTCTTAACGTAATTTCCTCAGATACTTTTGAAACAAGTTGTGATCTTATCTAGCTTAATCTTGACCTTCTCTCAGAAATCCTCTTCTTATTGTATTTCAGAACACCATTTAATACATCCACCCTGACTTCTGAAATGTATTCTGTATACCAGTAATATTGCTGAAGAACCTCCTTAAATTCCATAGCCTCAGAGAGTAGATCAATGTGAATGTTTTATGCTAGAGGCAAGGTTTGTAGGAAAGTAATAGCTTTTCATAGACTAACTGATGTATTTATGAAGAATGCTTTATGTTGGCATTTTTATTGCTTGAAAAAAGTGTTAAATTTGTCACGCCAGGCCTTTTTTCGCCCTCCCAACTTTGCCTTTCAGCAAGTGTTCTAAAGCTCCTTCCTTTATCAAAGGAAACATGCTTCTAGGTTAAGACAAGAAGAAATTTCAAAAAGGTCTTTTCTTCTGTCCCTTAGTCCCCCAAAGAAACGCAGAGACAGAGGAACTACTGTCAGCCTGCCTCGTCTCTAGCAAAGCGTTAGAAATGATAAATAGCTGGACTCTGCTGTTGGGCAGTTACAGAACTTCTCTACTGAGCTTGAAACGTATAGACAGTGATATCTTTGCACTACCTTTCCCCAGTGCTTCAAGTGGAAAAGCAAAAGCTACAATTCCATCTGGCTTTACAGCAACATCCTGGGAGTCAACTGGTTATCAAATTTACTTAGATCTTTTTCTGAGAATTACTTTTTTCTGCACTTTAAATGTCAACATTTATTTAGAATAAACATCTTTCTCTCATTATCTGTCTTTGGTAAGAATCCAGTTCAGACAGCAAAAAGAGAGGAGTTTTTCCTAGAAATGGGACCTACCTTTTCATCAAGCTCCACATAGCTCAGGGCACACATAAAGAGGGTAAAGTGTAGGTGTTTCCCTCTAGCACAGAAACACAAAAAATGCTATTGCTCCTCTCTTTTTGAAAGTTTTGAACATCTGGAAAATAGCATCAAGAATAGAAATTCTCAAAAGGAAAAATTATTTTCCAGCTTCTGAGATGACAACATCTCAGTGAGCATCAACAACAATCTGTTCACAAATAAAAAGAAGTCTTAGTGATTGTAGGGACTTACTCTTTCCTATAAACCACAGAGGTTTAGAGCTTCCACCCTTTTGAAAGGGTTTTTCCTTTCAACAGAAACTCCAATACAGAAAAGCTTGTACAAACTACCAGTGAATTCCTTCAGTGTACCAAAGGGAGACTATTTTTTGTCCTGTGCTACATCAGTTTAAAATGAAAGCTGTCTTAAGTCTTATGTCTTCTGGGTATATCTCAGTATCATATTTTCTTCCTGTTATATCAATTATTTTTACTTCTTATATAGATCTTTTCTTAAACCAGGCAGAAATACAATAAGTGAGGTTATGGGTCAACGTATATTTGAAGAAAAACGTGTTTCTATTCCGAGATGTCCTGGTGTATTTGACAATTCCAGCCTTACTTTGATGGGACCCACTTATCCCATAATGAAACGTCATAGAAGATGAGTCCCTGTGCTTACAGCCAGGCTCATTGCTGCTCCACAAGTCAAGCAGTCCATATTGATATTTGTCATGGTAATTCCTCTCTCTAGCCCAGTTTGCTCATCATTTGGAAAAGCATTTTATTTCTATTTAAAAAGTGAGCAACTCTGTCCATCAATTAAAGATGTCTTTAGAGTAAAAGAAGGAAACCACAATACAGATCACCTCTGCATGGGAAGCCCAACCTGACCATGCCTGGTTTTGAAAAACCCAAGCAAAAGCTCAGGCTTCTCCCTCAAGGTGGGAGTTCACTACTAGATCTAAAGACAGTGAAGAAGGTACTTTAGATAATAAGACAGTGACTAAGATCAGGCTAAAGAGGTAATACTATTCTAGCTGCCTTTTTTTTGCTTTCATTCTGTGTTTTTAAAAGCACTGCCATCATTATTTTATATGCTAGTGTCTGTCAAACTGGATCATCTAGAAGGCTGAACTTTTCACAGCCAATTTGTCATGCACTTGCCAGTTGTTTCATGCTGACAGAAAAAACATTTCCACAATCAAACTGCTATCATTGTTTCTTCTCTTTCCCAATGATTTACTGAGATGATGGTAATGTTTGCAGCTGCCCATAGGCCTACTGCAGACTGAAAATCCATTTAAGTTGGGCAGTAAGCC